TGTATGTATGTATGTATGTATGTATGTATGTATGTATATGTATGTATGTATGCATGTATGTATATGTATGAACGTGGGCATGTGTGTGTGTAGGTATGTATGTACACATATTACAACGAATGTATTGCATATGTATACGTGTAGATGCATGTGTACCCATGTGTGTGTGTATGTGTTCCTATGCATATGTGTACTATACCCTACCCAAACTAGACCAGTCGCTCTTAGCAGCTTTCGGTACAGGTGCAGGAACTCCAGGCTTATTTTGCATAGGCCACGGCATCGTCATAGGTGGTGGTTTCTCGACCGTAGGTTTCTTTGCAGCTGGAGCTCCAGGGTGGATCACATTCTGTTCCGGAGTCACTTTGCCCCTCAATCGGTGACGCTTGTCAGCCGGCTGCCCTGTATACGTCGTGTCACCTGTGCCCCCAGTTCCAGAACCTGCGCACACAGGCCCTTTATAATCCTTCATGACCAGCTATTGAACTTAGCCGACATGGCTGAAACCACAACTAAGGATCCTTAAGGTCTTAAGCCCCTAACCTCAAAGCCCAATTCTCCTAGTAGTATTTCCGAAAGACCACTGCCTGAGGGCACACCTGCAATCAGGAGAGCACGCTGCACTTCATCCTGGATGACGCCGGCGCGCTTGGCTCTGGCTGATGCCTGGCCAGCATGGGAGGATTCGGGTTTAGGGTCGTTAAGGGTTTAGGGTCGTTAAGGGTTTAGGGTCGTTAAGGATTTAGGGTCGTTAAGGGTTTAGGGTCGTTAAGGGTTTAGGGTCGTCAAGGGTTTAGGGTCGTTAAGGGTTTAGGGTCGTTAAGGGTTTAGGGTCGTTAAGGGTTTAGGGTCGTTAAGGGTTTAGGGTCGTTAAGGGTTTAGGGTGCTTAAGCTTTTTGGGAACAAGAGCCTCTGAGGAAGCCATGGCAGGGCTGACAAAGCAGGACCCCGGAATAACGCACAGTAACGCCCAGTAACGCTCAATAACGGCCTAATTTGTCCCAGGAAGCACTTTGAACGCGTAGTAACGGCCTGGGTTTTGGTACTCTAGAATCAAGGAGAGACCCCCAATAACGCCCAGTAACGCCCAGTAACGCCCAATAACGGCCTTCTTTGTCCCAGGAAGCACTTTGAACGCGTAGTAACGGCCTGGGTTTTGTACTCTAGAAGCAACAGAGACCCCCAATAACGCACAGTAACGCCCAGTAACGGCTAATAACGCCCTATTTTGTCCCAGAGAGCACTTTGAACGCACAGTCACGGTTCTGCTGTGTTCTGCCGCAAGCCCAGCACAAACACTGCCTGTATAATGCAAATGAACCCATTCTTGCAATATATAATACTACAGAATCCAATCCGAGTACCCTGGGCCAGCTAGCAAGTGATCATCCTGTGGGCCCATGAACAATGCACATATGTCAACTGCATGTTTCATGACTGATGCATGCTGCTCAGGAATGCATTCTGCACGGAACAGACGCGATGCGCTAGCCAAGGCAGCTCGTTTTGCACACTCTCATCCGGCTTTCTGGTTCATAGATCAAGCTTCAAGCAGCAGGATTACAGGCTTCATCGGGCCGTTGCAGTGCGCATAGAGAGGCTAAGGAGTTTAACAATATTAACCCTCAGGGTCCTAAGTACTGTTATTGAGGATACTTCCCTAAATCATATAGTAGTAGTTCCGAATATAGAAACCCTACATTCTACCATATATAGGCACTTAGGACCCTTCGGGATTTCTTATAAAGGCTACTAAGGTTGAGGGGTTGTTCCACCACACACAGAAGTCCCGACTACATACTTTCATCCATATCCCTAGATAGAATCTTTGGGAATAGTGGGGTGATGGAGTGGACCCCTAATAAAAGCAATCGGCCCCATGAAGCCAGATTAGGTCTCCTCACCCAAGACAGCTCGGGGCACTATTGGAACATCCAGGATGTTGAAGGCTTCACAGGTCAAAGGAAACCCCCCGTCGGGCTGCCACAGGCCCAACCTCTGCTTCTCCTCCAAGAAGTCCTGCCAGCAGGATAGCATTATTTCCGGATAGGGTTAACTAGGGTTTAGGGTTTAGGGCTTAGGGTACCCTAATAATAAGTAACCCAACTAGGCCTTGACGCTGCCAAGCTGGGCTTTCTGAAAGGTAGAGGGAATCTCCGAGACGAACATCGTGAGCTCATCAAGCTTGACCACTGCTACCCGGGGGTCTCTCTCCAGAACCTGGGTACATGACAACAATTGGCAAGCTGTACTATGATCATCCAACATGAGCAGAGTATGCAACAAGAGCATCCAACAGCTGTAATAATTGCATTGCTTAAGGAACTTTCAAATGCTCCGTGCAAACAAAATCGGCGAAGCTCTTCGGGTACTGGCCGGTCAGGGCGAGGTCGCCAGCACCAGTCCTCAGAAGTTTTAGGGTTTTGGAGGTTCAGGGGTTTAGCAGGTCATATTAAGAGTAATAATAATAGAATAGTAATAGTTTTAATGATAACAAAGATCATAATAATGGCATCGTAATAGTTATTATTAAAATAGCCTGCATAGGTAGCTTATAAAAAAAATATGGATAATAGTTCTCACGGTATAGTCAAACAAAATAACTGTATTACTAGAAATAGTATAATATATAGTCACACGAATAGCGTATAGAAGTCCAAATAATTTCCTAGTAACAACTCATAGCAGAATATGTAAGAATAATCATATATATATATATATAGAGATATTAATGACAATTATATATACAATAACTTCTATGAATTACGATTATTACATGTACTATTAATAACTACGGTTAATGTTT